TTTTTTTTTTTTTTTGGAAATCTTTTTCCATTTGCCTTACAAATTATCAGTTACTAGTTTAGTGAGTCATTCACAATACTTAGAACATGTGTTTGGCTCCATGAAACAGTCACCCCCCATCATCAATCAGCCATTAAATAAGTAATTTGTAAACTTCAAATCTTATATTGCTAGCACTATTTTCATCAAATATATCTGCATCTTTTAGCTATATCAACATTCACATTAAACCAATAAACAATCTCTGATGCAGTAGTAAACTATACGCAAATTTTCGTAGCAAGTTTTACCATCATCATTAATCATTGAAGAGCAAAAATCACCACACAACAATTTTTTTGTTTCCCTCATGTATTGACAACTCAAAAAGGGTAAATTATCCAAATCAAACACCTTTACCGAATTATCACCACAATCCCCAATTTTTTACAACGGCCAATTTCTGTACCATCCAGCCCATGCAGAAACCAGCCCACTAATCCCCAACGTCACAGCATGGCAGCAGAAAGGGTTGGGCTCAATCTCAGCCACCGCAATTATCAGATCGGCCAAATTAGCCGCCACGGCCATCAGCCTCATCACCCTATCCACCCTAATCCTCCCCAATCTCTCCCTATCATCTTCCGACACCTCACCCGTGGAGGAGGACCCCACAATCTGCCTCTCCGCATTAATCCCGTCCCGAATGAGAATAAAATCGGATATCACGAAGAACACGTTGTAGATGCATAAAATTTGTGACCAATCAAATGGCGCCACGTGGAAATTAATTTATTAAAAATCAAGTCATATTTTCTATTTATATCTTAGGAATTTCCACATATTTAATTCCTAAATTTAAATAGTTAATTAATTGATATTTTAATATATTAATTCTTGACCAATCAAATAATGTCAAGTGTCAAATCCTTATTCTTGGTAAACAAATCATATCTTCTAGAAGATCTTGGAGGATTTAAGTGGATCTAGAAGATCTTGGAAGATTTAAGTGGATCTTGAAGATCTTATGTGAATCATCATGGACCAATCAAATTGCGTCCTACGATTCTTAAATTTGGTAGGGTGCTCTCTCCTACACCTATAAATAGGGGCTCTCCCTAATGTCAAAAACACATCATAATTCATATTTTGAAGTTCAAGAGCTCTAGAGAATTCTCTCTACAAGTTTCAAGTGTTCTTGAAGATTCGAAGCCGTTCTTGAAGATTCGAAGGAAGATTCAAGCACATTCAAGCTCAAAACCGACGTTTAATCCGGAAACAAGCTACCAAGCCTCCGAATTACGTTCATATTCAAGTTCAAGTTCAAGATCTCTCGACGAGATTCAAGTGTTCTTGAAGATTTAAAGGCGTTCTTGAAGATTCAAAGCAAGATTCAAGTGCGTTCAACCTCAAGACTAGCGTTCAATCCGGAAACAAGCTGCGAAGCCTCCGAATAACGTTAGTAAATTCAAATCTGGCGTGAAGAAGATTCGAGATCAACTTTGCGACGAAGACCCAGGATTCGTGTTCTTCGCGTTCTTGGGATATTTCGACGTTTGATCCGGAAAAAAGCTTTCAAGCCCTCGGATTACGTTAATTCAAGTCAAATCAAGTCAAGGAGAAGATCAAGCCGAAGATTTCGCTCCAAGACTTAATATATTGTTTGTGAGAAGAATCAGAGGAATAATAGAGATTGTAACCCGCAATATTTATTTTGATTCAAGAAATTCATTTGAATAATATTTTTCGTGTTTTTAAATTCAATACACGAAATTTGTTGTTACAAATTTTTGGCACGCCCGGTGGGACCTTTCTACCTCTCATCTCTTCTCCAAAGTTCCTCAAGTCATCATGACTAGCCGCAAGAT